CTGGTGTGTCTTATATTCTGGTGTGTCTTATACTCTGAAAAATATGGTAGTTGTCTGCCACACCTATTCATGTGCACTCCCTGCCTTTTATCCCAACTGCTAGGGTGGGGCCTCGCTAGCAGCATTGGCTCTTCCTTCTCCAGGATCGGCCCACAACTTTCCACTGCTCTCCTCTCCTGCCTTTTGCACATCCGCATGTCAGGCCCTGGACCCAGGTGTTCCTCCTCTTCCCCATCAGCCACCTCTAGACCTGGGGGCTGTTGATTCTCCATCTGAGGGCTGACCGATGGCCCAGGCTCTGCCTCTGTCTGTCTGTCTCTCTCTCTCTCTCTCTCTCTGCCAGCTCCAATCCATCTTCTTCCTCAGAGCTCTCAGGTTGCCTTGATGCTAATCCTGACTCCCACGTCTCCTCCTCTGATTCAGTTGCTGGAGGGGCCGGTGGCCAACAAGCCACAACACTGAGATCCATTCTACGCGGTATCAGGTGAACATCCCAGAAAGAGAATCTCAAATCATTCCTGCTAAGCAAGTATCTGAGCATGCTGTGGTTTATAGGTTGTCCTTGAGTTATAACCATTTAGCCATGGTTCAAAGTTGCAACAGCACTGAAAAAGGTCATTTACAATCGGTCCTTGCACTTATGACCATCACAGCATCCCCACAGTCACGTGATCAAAATCTGGACACTAAGTGGCATATATTTACAGCTGCAGTGTCCTAGGACATGCGATTGCCCTTTGCAACTTTCCCAGCCAGCTTCTGACAAGCAAAGTCAATGGAGGAAGCCAGATTTGCACGGAGGAAGCCACAAATGCTTGATTCACTTAATAACTGCAGTTTGATTAACTACAATGACAAAAAAAGGCTTATCAAACTGGGTGCAACTCATTTAACAACTTTGCCACAGTGATTTTGGTCACAACTATGGTCACAGATGCCTGTTATTTAGATATTTTAGTATTTTAGAAGCATGGCTTAGTTTACATATTGAGGCTGATAGATTGAAGGGCAATTAAAACCTCCACAAGTTAAAAAGACTTTCTAAATGTTTTTGTTATATTGATTTTCTAACTACAGGGTAGATTGTTTCATTTACAGGAGGAATATTCGTAAATGTGATTTCCCAGCCACAAGATGAAGCACTACAGTCCATGTTCACCTACAGATTTATTACATTTATTTCCTATCTTTTCTGAGTTCAAAGCAGTGTACTTTCCTCCAATTTATCCCCGCAGCTTTCACGTGAATATTAGGTGAAACGGAAACATAATAATGGGCCCAAAGCTCTGTAGCAAGCGGCAAGGTTTTTTATTCTGTATTTTCAACTTTAAACACTCAAAAATGGATTCACTTCTCGAAAACCCTCCAAGACACAAAGTTTTGTGCTTTGTGTTTAGCACGTGGCACAAATCCAGTCACTGAAATTTGTAAACCAGGGTTGGTTGGTTTTGTTTGCTTATAAAAAATATCCCACCTTTCACGCAGGAGCTCAAGGCTACACAGCCAGTCCTTCCTCCTATTTTCCCCACAACAGCAACTTGGAGTTGTTGTTGTTGTTGTTCTTAGTGCGTATCTCCCTTAGCTGCAGGATCCGCCTGTTTTGTGCTCACCTATTTCAGCAAAGCGTATCAGCACACGATGCCAAAAAGGTTTTGTTTTTCAGCTAGCTTGTTTCAGAGCCCGGTACTGATTACAGCACAGAGGGAGTAACTGGACCAAAGTCATCAGCTGACTTCTGTGGTTAAGGATATACCACTAGAACTTCAATCTCCTTGTTCCTTCCTGGCATCTTATACTCCATTTCACTAGCTCTGATAACCCAGCCAACTGTGGCTGTCAATAAAACGTGCAGTACAATAAACCCTGGCTCTGCTTGCATGTACTGTATACGGTTTCAGCGTTTTATAAAAGAAACATCTTCTGAGTTCTCCTGCTTGAACCCAAAGTAAAGCACTTGGCAGTGCTAGCTGAGAAGTTCTATAAGTTGCAGATCTAAGTAGAGGCGATTGGGAAAACTGGGCTAAATCACTTTGATCTTTAGCAAAGCAAGATGACACGGAATTTAAGTGAGTTTGCTTAGAGAGTTTCAGAGGGAGAGAATTCAAATATAGACTACTTTGCAAACAAGCATTCCGCTGACTTTCACGAGAAACATTGAGGTCCCTGATCTTATTCCACTCCAAAAATCGTGCTATACCCACAGAACACCAGAAGATGGCAGTATTAGAGGATACAATATAGTACCCTTGATTGGTTATCAAAAAATAAGAGTTCAATGGTTGTAATAAAAACAAAACAACCAGTCTGGGGAGGAAGAACTATGGAAATTAATTCATTAAGTTTCATAAACTTGCGAGGAATGAAGGAGAGTACATTTATAATAGGAGAATTACACAGCAGGTTTCTGCATTAAGCATCACCGGAGGCTTCTTTGATTTTATATCTTACACCAAGATTCCAGCCCTCATGGCCTTCCCAACTGTAGTACTATCCAACATAGGCCAGGCCTATGATTTTCAGAATCCCCAGTCTATCTTCAAGGTCCCAGATTGGAAGGCTCTCCTAAAGAGCAGCGTTAATAATTATTTTCAGTCTAAGCATTTCTCTCTGGGCTGGGGATAATGGAACTTGCAAAACTTTTCTGGAAGAAACCAGAAAATGAAACAAATGCTTTGAAGCATTAATGTCAATGGAGAAAAATAAAACACAGATAGTCCTTGACCTATGTCCACATTGGAACCCAGAATTTATGTTGCTAAGTGAGAAATTTGTTAAATGAGTTTTGCCCCATTTTATGACTTTTCTTACATTCCTTAGAAGAATCATTGCAGCTATAAAATTAGTAACGTGGTTGTTAAGTGAATCTGGTTTCCCCATTGACTTTGCTTGTCAGAAGGTCGTAAAAGGGGATCACATGACCCAGGGACACTGCAACCGTCATAAATGCGAGTCAGTTGTCAAGCATCTCAGTGCAAATCACATGACCATGGGGATGCTGCATCGGTCATAAGTATAAAAAATAAGTTACAACAGCACTTTGAACGATCACAAAACAAACTGTTGTAAGTCGAGGACTACCTGCCTTTCTGAGATGTATAAATACCTTTGTTGGGGCAAATGTCAATATTCTTTAGGGGGAGTTAGAAGAGACTGGAAGGTCACATCTCTGAAATGGTAATAGGCAAAAGAACTATACAGTTAGTCCTTGACTTATGACCCCAATTGAGCCCAAAATTTCCACTACCAAGTAAGACAGTTGTTAAGTGAGACGTGTTCCATTTTACGACCTTTCTTGTTACAGTTGCTGCCAAGCCAAGATTGTTCTAAAGCTAAACGCATTCTAACGTGGCCATCACATGCGAAGACCTGTGGAGTAAAATTCCAGTAAAAGCTTGAATGTCTTTATAATACCTTCCAGTAAATGTGATCTCCTGGCAACTGCCTAGATTAGCCCTTGAAGCTTTTTGGCAATGTACAGGTAATCCTCAACTTGCAACCATTTGTTTAATGACCATTCAAAGTTACAATGCTACTGAAAAAAGTGACTTATAACTGGTCCTGCACTTATGACCTCACCACTGGTCCTTGAACTTGTCACATTTCCATGGGCATTGGTGATTATTTTTTTTATAATTTTTATTGAGCTTTTTATAAAACAAAACATAAAAGACCATATTCAACAACCATTCTTCCCATTCCTAAGACATCTGTATATCCCATTTTGTTTATCATCATACATGCTTTCCATTCGTTTTACACTTGCTGTCTTCTTTTTACATTTATAATCCCTATAACCTAATGTTACTTACTCACTTACTTACATACATACATACATACATACATACATACATACATACATACATACATACATTTATTCTACTTTCATTCATTATTCCTGTTATTCCTGGCATTGGTGAGTATTAAACATTCCTGGAAGACACAGCTGAAAATCTCCCATTTTTAACCAAGGGACCAAAGGCACAGCATGACAAAGTAAGCAATATCTCTGTAAGCCTAAACTGTTGCCTATTCCAGTCGGCCCCAATCTTCACTCGACTGCTCCATTTGTATGGTACTGTGAGGATCTAACATTCCCCCCCCCCCCCCAAAAAATGGTCAATTTCCTAGGTCATTCTGCCCTGATCTGGTCCTTTCAGATATTACGTAGAAACTACCGTTCCTAGATTTCTTTTGGGAGTCATCAGAGCAACAGGCTGAGCAAGCTTAGAAATTTTCTGACAGGGAGAGAGAGCAATCAACCCATGGAACAGAAGTTGCCTTCAGAAGTTGTGGGAGCTTCCTCACTGGAAGCTTTGAAGATGAGACTGGACTGCCATCTGTCAGAAACTGTGTAAGGTCTGCTTGGGAGGGGGAGGGGTTGGACTAGATGACCTATAAATTCCCTTCCAACTCTGTTAATCTGTACCTGTATCTAACTCCCAATGTTGCCAGGCCCCTCGCCCCCAAGACGCAGCAGTGGCACCTCCAAGGCGCGGGCGAGGGAAGCTATAACATAACCTCAAACTTGATAGTATCCATAAATAACTGTATTAGACTTTTAATTATTAATTTAATGGATGGAAGCTGATCAAGGAGAGATCCAACCCAGAAACAAGGAGCCATTTTCTGACAGTGAGAGCAATCAACGATGGAACAAAAGTTGCCTTCCAAAGTTGTGGAAGCTTCATCACTTGAGACTTTCAAGAAGAGATTGGACTGCCATCTGCCAGAAATGGTGTAGGGTCTCCTGCTTGGGTGGGGGGTTGGACTAGATGACCTATAAGGTCCCTTCCAACTCTGCTATTCTGAAATTAAGCCGCGGAGACGAAAGAGCTCCGAAGAAAAGAGCGTGGGAGAAGCCGGCGGGAACCAGCTCTTCTCCCCTCCAGGCTCGCTTTACCTGGCGCGCTCCTTGCCCGCCCGCCCCGGCCCGCGCGGAGACGCACCTGGGCAGAAGTGCCGGTAGTCGCCGCAGCAATCCAGGGTGGAAAGGCAAACCTGGTCGCAATAGCAGAGCCCGTAGGATCCGTCGGGTCGCCAACCGGCGCTCGCGCACTCCAGGCTCCTGCCCGAGCAGCAGCGCCCCAGCTCGCCGCAGCCGCCCTGCGCTCCCGCCGCGGCCAGCAAGGCGGAGAAGAGCAGAGCGCCCGCCAGGCTCCCACAGCCGCGGGTCACCGGCATGGCTGTCCCGGCCGGTGGGAAAGAAAAGCCACGGAGAAGAAAAACGCGGGTTGCCGTGCAGCGCCTCGCACCAGCCTCCTGCTGCCGCCGAGCCAGCCGCGTTTAATCCGAGGTGACGTAAGAGAGGGCGCCCCGGCCCCGCCAAAAATGCAGCGCCCCGGGGCGATGCCTTCCAAGTTGCCGCTCCCCACGCGCGGAGGGGATCCTAATCCTGTTTACCACGGAAGAGGGATTTCCCGCGGGTTTCGGCCCATAAAATCTCAAAGCAGCCCCCGAAAGGGGGGGAAAAAAGAGGTCCGGTTTGTAGGGCTGCTTCTCCGAGCCACCCCGCCAGTTCCCTGCGCAACCTTGGCGGGGCGGCTTGCGCCCACCCGGTGGAGGATCCGCGCAAGAAAAGGCCCGAAAGTTGATCTTCGGAGTTCAAGCTGCTGACTCGAGCCTGCGATTAACTGCCGACCAACCCTGCCCGAGTCTGACCTTTGCCTTTTCTGTGTGGATTCCGCTCAGTAATCGAGCCGGTCGACGCCTTCCAGTCACCTGGACTGGCTGGAGGGGAAGGAAGCCGTGACTCCAAAGTAAGGCGTGTTTGCCAAGGGAGGCAGCGGCGAACTTTGTAAGGGATTTTTCTTTTGACTTGGGATCAGTGGTGAAATCTAATACTTTTTTTTTTACTACCGGTTCTGTGGACGTGGCTTGGTGGGTCTTGTGACTGGGGGGGCGAGGGGGGATCAAAAGACAGAAACTCACTTTAACAATGTCCTACTGGACTGGGTTGGACTAGATGACCTCCAGGTCTTCTCCTAAACTGCGTCTAGTGCTAGGTTTGTAGTCCTTCCTTCCTTTCCTCTCCTTCTTTCTTTCCTTCTTTCCTTCCTTCCTTCCTTCCTTCCTTCCTTCCTTCCTTCCTTCTTTTTCTTTCTTTCTTTTTTTCTAGGATACTGCCTGGGGATCCACATTCAAGGGCTTTCCTCGGTAATTCGGGAGGTTTGGCAGAGAAGCCAGCTCATGTAAAATGGCAAGCGCCGGTTGCTGAACCCTGTGCTCAGTCATGAGGCTGATGAGTAAATGCCCTCTTACGGTTTTTGTGCTGGAGTTTTTGCCCTCCAGCTTTCTTTCCCTTCCAACTGGGAGAGGCTTCAACTACTCTTCTGGGTGTGGGAAGAGCGGCCACGGGGGAGGGGGGGTGTCTGGGGGCAGGTATGCTGAAGGATAGCAGGCGTGTGGGACTGTTTCCCTAATGTGTCTCACATTAGCCTGCAGGGGAACCCATATGTGTGAGTGTGGGTGTGAAACAAGTAAAAAAAATCTGATGCTTGCCTGATGAAAACTTTGACTTTTATGAGTGTCCATGCAAGGAAACAGGGGACGTGGTGGCTCAGTGGCTAAGACGCTGAACTTGATCAGAAAGGCCGGCGGTTCGAATCCCTAACGGAGTGAGCTCCCTTTTCTTGTCCCAGCTTCTGCCAACCTAGCAGTTCGAAAGCACATAAAAATGCAAGTAGAAAAATAGGAACCACCTTTGGTGGGAAGGTAACAGCATTCCGTGCGCCTTCACCATCTAGTCATGCCAGCCACATGACCACAGAGATGTCTTTGGACAATGCTGGCTCTTC